CCCTCACCTAACCCTCACCTTGCAGCACACTTACATTCCCGGCAAAACCCAGCAGAAGTGCCAATGGCTGCCCTGGGGAAGGACAGCCCCAGGCACCAGGATGTGCCCAGGAGCAGTTTGTCAGACAGAGACCCCAGTGGAAGGTGCAGGGCACCTGGGCTGCCCTGGCCACAGAGCCAGGAGGGGATCCTGCCCCTCACTGCAGCACCACAGCTGAGTGCTGTGCCCGGCCAGAGGACACGACACACTGGGGAGGGCACAGAGCAGCCATGAACCTGACTAAGGGACTGTGAGGGAAGGCCGGGAGTGCCGGCACTGCTCAGTCTGGAGAAGGCTCGTTAATAGATATAAATTCCTGATGGGACCGTGCAAAGGGGATGGATCCAGGCTCCTTTCAGTGGTGCCCAGTGACAGGATCTGATGCCACAGGCACAAACTGAAGCACAAGAGGTTCCCTTTGGCACACCAACCCATAGTGTTTTACGGTGGGGGTGACAGGTTGCCCAGACAGGTTGCAGAGTCTCCCAGCTCGGAGATATTGAAAGGCTGTCTGGACATGGTCCTGGGCAACCAGTTCTGCTTGATGACCTCCAGAGAGCCCTTCCAACCTCAACCATTGTATGAGTCGCTGCTTTTTCTTACTGCTTACAAGGAGTTTTCTTTCTTGACTATCTATTTCCCTTGTTAGCTTTTATATTCTTTGGAAACCTGGCTGAGAGCCATTTTCAAAACACTGAAATGCAATATGCTGACAAGCCCACTTTTATTCACATGACCTATAAAAGAATTCTAATCCTAATAAAACAGGGACACAATGGAGAACAGAATAAGAACATAACAGACTCATGGGGCACATGTGTTTGTCTCTACAGAACACACGGTGACTCCTTACCTGCAGTGCCACACTTACACATCAAGTCTTCAAACAAAAAACAGGACTCCACTAATTACAACTTTATGTGCAATTTACATTGTTACAGATATTAACAGGTGAGGATGGCTGCAGCACTTGACAGAAGCATTCAGTCAGAAAATAAAATTTGACGAAGTTATGAAGAGCTGGACAGAAGATATTACAGAACACAGTATCAGTCAGTACTGGCTTTTTATCACACTGCAGCCAGTGCTGGCCACATCTCTAAAAGCATCCAGCAGAATTATAACCATGCAGATATAGAAAGACTACATACAAAGTAATCCTCTTATGGAGAGGAGCTGAGGCAGACTGTCCATTTAAATTGCAGAGAAGGGGGAAAATATAAAGAATAAAAATTGTCACTGTGATGGAAGGAGCACATTATCTTGTAACAAAAGAACTTGAGGATCACCAACAAAAATGGAGGACTAAGTTCAAAATGAATTAAATGTTTTTCATGTAAGATAGGCAGCCTGGGGCACTAACTGACGTAGGACTTGCCAAGAGACACTGAAGATGCAAAAAGCAGTAAGTAGATAAGAAGCATCCAGTTTTCTCAAATTCGTAAACCACTTGGCAAAGCCTGTATGTGCCAAATGTCCATAGGACACACGCCACCATTTACTTCAGAGGATGGTGGAGACTGAAAACACCAGACAGCCCAGAGCAAAGCTATGACAGCAGATTCTTCTCAGGTGCCCTGGCTGGTCTGTGCACATCCCAGGGAGATCTAGGCATAGATCTAGATCTGTGCTGCTCTTAGCAGCCCACACTGGTTCACTTCCTTACTAAGATAGGTCTGGACTACCAAGCACGAAACTGGCACAGGAATTACTTACAAACCACATACAGATACCGTTGGACTAGAGACTTTGGTTCATACAAGAATGTAAAGTATTAAGAGAACAAGCAGAGGGGCACAGACAGCAGGCATGGGGGGATTATTCCTGTTTGCACTTGTCAGAGCTCACCTGCGGCCCACAGAACAAGACAAACATGGACCTGTTGGAGCAAGCCCAGAGGAGGCCACAGGGATGCTCTGAGGGCTGAAGCCCCTCTGCTCTGGAGATGGGCTGAGAGAGACAAGAGAGAAGAAGAGGCTCCAGGGAGATTTTCTTGTGGCCTTCCAGTACTTAAAGGGAGCTTGTAGAAAGACAGAGAGAGACCTTTTACCTTTTACCAAGGCCTGTAAGACAGGACAAGGGACAACACTTTTAAACTGCTGTTTTAAAGAGGGCAATTTTAGATTAGACCTAAGGAAGACATCTTTTACAATGAGGGAGGTAAATGCTGGAACACAGCTAGGGGATCTGTGAAGGTCCCTTCCAACCCATACCATTCTATCCCACAGTGAATGAGCTTTGTGCTTTCTCCTGCAACTGCTAAGATTGGCTCCTGTCCACACTGAGTGATCAAACTGCCAGCCCATTCAGTTACTGTGCGGCTACCCCTATGAACTCAGGGAACAAACAAGAATAAAACCTCTCAAGTAACCTTCCACTATGTCCTCTCTCTATCATGAAAATGGAAAGCTTAAAAATCTGCAAGTAACATTTTAAAATCATTCCTCACTGGTCTCACAGCTGCAAACACAGCTCTTCTGTTCCATGTAGACAACACCTTTTAACGGGAAATTCTGCCATTGCCATGAATCATAGTATTTTCCAGGGGAAAATTACTTGTTTAATTCTTTAAAATGAATGCATTTATAATTTTTCAATATCATACTTTGTTGGGCCTTGCAATGTCACCAAGTGAAGTCAAATTTCTTTCACATCACAGACTCATAGAACATTAAGGGGCTGGAGTGGGCTAACAGATGATCCAGTCCCAGGCCCTCTGCCCTGGGCAGGGACAGCTCCCCTGCCCTGACCCAGCCCGGCTCTGAGCCCTGCCAGGGGCACCCACAGCCCTCGTGGGCAGCGTGCCAGTGTCACTACCTTCACAGGAAACATTTCCTCCCAGTATCTAACCTGAATTTCCCCTCTTTCAGTCTGTACCCATTACTCCTTTTCCTGTTACTGCAGTTACTGACAAAGATCCCTCTCCAGCTCCCCTGCAGCCCCTGCAGACACTTCCACACAACCGTCTCTTCTCCAGACTGAACAGCCCCAGCTTTCTCCACAGGGGAGAAAGGGAGCCTGTCTCCAGAGGGGAGCTGCTCATCAAAAGCATACTTGCAAATCAAAGGCCACATGCTGAAAAGGTAAGTTTACATGATTTCCCACTTCAGTGCAATAGCTGTGCATATTGCACCTGTAAATATAAAAATATATAACTGGTAAATTGTGTTTTCTTCTCTGCAGTTTAGGATCTTGAAAGGAGCTGAACTACCTTTAAACAAGTAATTTTAAGAAATTTATTCACAGACAGAGAGTAAGTGTGCCAAATTTGGGAGTAAAAAAGGTAAGAAATACTATGTTGAATAGAATCTTACACTGACATTCTTGGAGCAGGCAAATTCTTCAGTCTAGCTAAGGCCTTCAAGCTAGCTAAGGCTAATTCTGTTCAGGGAGAAATGCTTCTATCCCTTGCTTTGGGCATTGATCACAGACAGACACAGACACCACCTGTTCCAACCAGTACAGAAAACAGAGAAGGCTGCAGGACTCTAAGAGGCCAGAAAGGAAAGGATAGGAAGTTTGTCTCTCAAACTCTGAAACCTGTGAATGCAGAGCTTTTTTAAACAAATGAAAGGAAGACTAAAACAGCTTTCTATAAAATTAATGAGATTCTTGTCCACAAACTTGCCAGTACAGAAATGACAGTGTCATTGTCACTTCCACATCTACTCAGAGAATATTGGAAACAACTGACAAGGGCACCTCAGGCTGTCAATTCACACCTCACTTGACGACCTCGAGGAACATTCCAGAACAAGACCTATTAGCCAGTGTTTGCATTATGAAAACACTGTGGAGAGTGTGCACAGTGCAACCTTGTGAGCTAGATGTAAAGGCACATAAATTGTAGATACCTGCTTGGTTCCATGTATCCAGGACATTTCTATATAAATGCAAAACCTGGATAACTCCCCTGGTATAACACCCGAACTCCTAATCCTTCACAGTTTAAATTAAGAACCATTCAATTCCTCCAGCTGCATCTTTCCAGAAAACATAAGCTTCTGGAATGCTGTTCAATCTAAGAAGAGACCACCAAATTCTAGGTGTTAGCCCAAGCACTCTGCTTGGAAACCACAGTGGCAGCACTGCACTGGGCAAGGAGATGGTGCTGGGTGATAAAGAGAACAGAATGCTAACATTAACATCTTCATCAAAAAACTGAAGGAGTTTTCATACATAAGCCCTTCCAATTCCAGTGAGAATTGTTATAGCCTAGGCTGTTTATTTCCAAAGCAAAATAGCATGCATTTCTTCTACCACACCATTTCCACTACCAGTGAGGTGACCTGCGTGGGCTGTGCAAGGTGAGAAGTCACCAATCCAGGAGTGGCAAAAACAAAAGTGCCCTGCAGCCTTGCTGTGCACTGGCTGGGAAAGCAGACAGGTAGCTACAGGTGGATATTCACAGTGGAAGCAACAAGAAGAATGTAACTAATGCTAGAAAATGAGGATGTGAGTGGCAGATTTGGGCACTTTATCATGGAGATGACCAGTGTCCATCCAGCAACAACAGCAGGTACTGAAGAAGTCCTCCTAGCTGGGAAGAGCTAATTTAAACCTGCCCTGAGAAGCATGGGAACCCCACAGATCAATAACTACCTGACAAGAACTAATCTTGTTTACTTGTGGCAATGGAGTAATGAATTACCACAAAGAATTCCTGCTACTCCTCTCCCTCCTCCTCACAGCAACTGCATCCTCCAATGTCACTTCCTCCGAGCCAGTGCACCCTGCCAGATCAGCATCTTCCTGCCAACACCACCACAAACTATCACACGAGTAACTAGCTATTCAAATGACCAGTTTATGGCAGCAGCAGCAAGCTGGCGTCTTAGCATTTATTTCACAACACAGTATTTCCCATATGCCCAAAGGCAAACATTTTCCATCCCCAGTCCAAAGCACAGACACGTCCTTCCTGACTAAAACAGGTCACTTTTCAAAGAGCTAAAACCTACCTGTATCGGACAGGGCAGCTCAACACCTGGAGTCACATCTGTGTACACCAAGAGGAAGCAAGAAACTTATCCTGGGGATGAAGCAGGAGACCAGATATTAAGTCATGATGAATTAGCAGGAGATGTTCTCATTGACCTTAAGCAGGAACAGCTCTAAGACAGCAGGCTGAGGATGCATTTGGATCCAGCTCTGAAAAGAGAAAGTACATACTGTGTGAGAGGGAAATAACATACAATAAAAATAACATTTCCTAGAACAGCATAAACCCATGTGACACTTCATAAGCAGCACAACTTGCGGAAAAAGAGAGGGGGGAAAAGAGCAAGAAAGAGAGGATGAGACTGACATAGCAGTTTGGGACTTGTCTGGAGACTGTGCACACAGGTGCATGGCCAGGCTGCCAGGACAACAGTTCTGCCCAGGCACTGGCCCATCCACGTAGGCTCTTCAGTTTCCCCACAGGACCCACCTTTTATTTGTGGAGTCTGGAAAGAACACAAAGGTTACAGCTTGCCTATAACCTGTCAACCTATTGAGCAGCCTCTGGTAAGAGCTACGGGGTGGGTAGGATTGGAGTGGACCCCTGGAATTTGCCTGTCCCAAGAAGCAAGGGTATTGTCTCACACAGAGGTTCTCAACCTTGGGAAAGCAGGCCACTCTAAGAACATTAACCAAGTCAGTTTGCTTTCATCCTTAAAAAAACCAATTCCCTACAGAACTCAAAATCCACTCCTACCAGAACACTCCAGCATTTTATCAGGCACCATTAGCTGCCCGAGTAGGTTAAGGAGAGTGTGGCAGACTGGAATAATTAATGATCCTACAGATTTAGGGCACAGTCAGGCAGCTTCAGTGTCTGCATGCTATGATAGCTCCCAAAGAAGACAAACCAGGCTAAGAAGGAACAGGGACCTGTTCCATGGGAAGAGCTGAGGCAGCTGCACCTGCACATACAAAGCCCTGCACAGCAGCTCCTGGCAGCTCTGTACTGTAGCTGATGAAGAAAAGCAGCATTAACAGCAGAACAGGTGTGAGCACCAGCACACAAAGCATTCTCAAGCATAAGCTCACACCTAGACATGCAAATAGAAATCACTGCTCAAAGAAGGGATAGGCAAGAAAGGGAAGTATGGGCATTGCAGTGCCAGCCTGGGCAGTGCCAGGCAGCACGAGCAGAGTGGAGAACTCCACCAGGGACAGGACCAGGGCTCTGGATCTACCGGGGTCAAGAAAAGGGAAGAACAAAGGGAAAAAAGAAGATAACGGTGAATTCTGTTGAAACAGAGCTGTAGTCAAGGAAGGACACAGCCGAGGCAGGCAGGGGCTGAGGCAAACACTGCAGTGCAAGTGAGAGGGGAGAGTGCAGGAGGCACAGAGAGGAACGTTACTGCAGCGCTGAGGAGAAGAGCGAAGGCTGAGTGTCCTCACCCTGCCTTAGGGGCAAGGCCAAGCTGCAAGTTCCTCCTCACAGACAGCTCAGCTCATTTGGTTGGTAGTGTCCCCGTGGAAAACAGCAGATTGTTCATTGCTCCTGAGACAACACCAAGGAACTGGTTATCTTCAGAAGCTGCAGGACTTCCTCGGATGGGTGGTAGGGTGAAGTCTCCAAGAAGGGCAGTGCTGACGGCACCAGGCAAGGATAGTTAGTGCACACTCTCCCAGATCATGCTAACTGGAGAATGACGTTGCTTGCTCCTCAGTCCCCCATTTCAATTCTACCTCAGTTTCTCCCAGCAGCAACTTGCACACAGGGATCTTCCACAGGCCATGGTGTTGGAGGGAACAGAGAAGAGTTCAGGCTTCAGGGAACAGGAGGGAGGGAAGGAGCAGCAATCTCCAGCAGCAAACTCCTGGTGCCAAAGTGAGATGGTTTGCATGTGTGGGAAGTTAGGAGATATTCCAGAAGGCCACGCAGAGCATCAGTCTCCCACAGACACAAATCTGTTAGTCCTGAGAGAGTATCTTGGACCATGTATCTCCCTCTGAAGAAAGAACTGAGAGGCATCTTAGAGGCAGCAAATCAAATACTCTCTCTCAAAAGCTGCCATCTCCTGAGTGAAGGCTGGTTGTTGCTGGAGCACCAGAGACAGCAGTCAGTTAGATGCAGGGCAGCGCTGAGCTGTCACCAGGGGCAGGGTGTTAAGAAGAGGACCCTTCTCTCCAGAGGATGGATGGACCATGTCAGGGCAGGATGGACAAATCCAGAAGAGTGATGGTGTCTCCCTCGGTAAAGTCAGTCCCTGCTAAAGGAAACCCTCCCGAGGGGGCCTGCAGCCCACGTTCGGGAGCGGGGAACGAGCACCGGGCTCCCCCTTCCTGCCTGCCTCCGAGCGCGCCGAGCTCCTGCCAGGAAGCGAAGCCGGGGGCTCGGCAGGGGCCGGCGGGGCCGCACCGCCCAAAGCCGAGTCCGCGGGCGAGGCCAGAGAGCGCGGCAGGGCCAGGCTGCTCCGGCCGCGGCTCCACGAGCGAGCGGCGGCGGAGGAAGGCGGCACCGGCGGCGCAGGGTCCGCCCGGACTCACCGGGCTCCGAGCGGGCGAGCCCTGCGGGCAGAGCCCGGGCGGGAGCAGCAGCGGCGCTGCCCGGGGTCCGTGCCCGGCCCTGGGGCACCGCCGGCGGGGGCGCCCCGCAGCTGCCCGGGGCCGGGCCGGGGCAGGGGCCCGAGGGGCGCTCACCGTCCCGTCCATGCTCCGCTCCCGCCGCGGCCGTCCGCGTGCGGAGCGCCTGCGCGGCGCTGCGGAGAGCGGCCAGGGACCGTCGGTAAAGTGCATCTCGCCCGCCGCGCCGGGGCTGAGGGTCCCGCACCGGGAGCCCGGCGCCGGCCGCGCCGCTGCGGCGGGAGGGCGGCGCGGCCGCGGCCCCTGGCCCGCTCCCAGCCCCGCGGGGGCGGCGCGGCACGGAGCTCCTCCCGGGGACAGGTGGGTGCGGCGCCCACGCCCTCCCAGCCCCGCGGGCCGCTCCGGCTCTGCCGCCTCGACGGAGCTCCAGAGAGGGACGGAGCGGCTTTAGGCGCGCCGCCGCCGCCGGCAGGGTCCCCAGCCCCGCCGCCCCTGCTTCCGCCGCCACAGGCACCCCCTTCTCGCCCCAGCAGCGCCCCGCAGCACCGCCGGAGCCCCCTGACTGTTGCAGCCCCCAGCCCCGCACTCCGCGCCCCGCACTCACCGCCGCCCCCTGCCGCCCCCGCCGCCGCAGCCCCGGCGCTCTCGCAGCGCTCCGGCCGCCGCCGCAGCCTCCGCGCGCTCCCCAGCGCCGCCTGCCGGCCGCGCTCCGCATCACCCCCGGGCCGCGGGGCCCGACGCAGCGCCCCCGCCCCGCCCGGCCCGGCCCGGCCCAGCACGGCCCGGAGCGCTTCCGACCGCTACCGAGCGGGGCTCGCACCCACAGCCACCGGGCCGGGCTTCACCGGGAGGCAATGAGAATTCCAGTGGCGATGGGGACGGGAGCAGCAGGATGAGAGAGCAAACAGGCCAGGGGAGCTCCGAGGCACGTCCAGTCCTTCAAACTCAGAACCGGCCCAGAGCTGCGATCCACCATCCGCACGCTTTGCCTTGTAGTCAGGAACTGGTGGCTCCCGGGAAGGTGGAGATGAGCGTCCTGGGCCTGGCGGGCTGCGGGTCTGAGGTGCGGTGTCAATTCTAACAGGAAAATTGCTTCTTAAACCCCCAGGGGGAGAGCTCTGCGACGTGCACTTTGACAGAGCGATTAGAAGGAATCCTCAGTGTAACTTGCCAAAGCCCTGCAGCCCATGGGGATGAGGGAAGTTCGGACAGAATGAGCACTGACAATGAATGCTTTGGAGTAATGCTCCAAGGAGCTGTGAGGAAGCGGTGAAAGGGCTGAGCTCCACCTGCAAGGAGCCAAGCAAACCTGGCAGCTTCACATGCTCAAAAACAGTGCAAGTCTAAAAGATGAAGTAAAATTTTAAAGATCATAAGGTGGAATTAAGTTTTAGTGGGTGTTTTTAAGGAGGGACTGTACACATGCATTTGGCTTTTCCACTACATTTTCTGTGTCATGTTTTCGAGCTTTTTCCTATGGTTATATGTACCAGCAAAACACTGTTGCAAATGCAAAATGAGCTTCTGTGGTACCTGTCACCAGAAAATTGCCCCCTTTGAGACTCCATGAGCAATGGTTCAGCATGCATGCTGGGGAGATAGGGTGAGTGCCGAGTACATGCAGGGGACAGGGGGGCACGAAAGCATCTGGGATAGTGGGGTTCAGGCCACGACCCCTGGCTTGAGACCGAGCTGGCAGCTGGCACCTGCACATGCTCTGCTGTGCTGTACAGAATATTTCACAAGGCGTGTGTGACAAGGCAATGTTCCAAGCCAAACAGAAGACAGCGAGCTCCTATGAAAGGAACTCTTTGTGCTGGAGTTGAGAATGGAGGAGTATGCTGGGCAAGAATACCTTGCTGTAGCTGGGGAAACGTGTTAATGAGAGCATCTTGTCCTCTTGCTGCTCATCTGACCAACAGCAATTCCAGAACTTCTGTGAAGCAGTTTAGACCATGTGCAAGACCTGGGTTGCACTCTGCAGTGTGCTGGGAATTGTCTCTGCAGCACTTTAGGGTGAAGCAGCTTGTGAGCTGTGCCTGAGTGGGGGACCTGCCCGGACAGACCCGAACTGCAGCTCAGGTGCGAGCAGAGGGCACAGCCCCCGAGGGACATGGACTGCTTGTCCAGGCCACACGGCAGAGGCACAGCATTTATGTTCTGCTCTTGGAGAAGACTGATGAACACTCTGATTAGATACAATATCAGAGTTCACAGCATCTGGGTTTGGGTGTTTTTGGGTTTTTTTGTTTGTTTCGTTTTGGTTTGTTGTTTTTTTTTTTTTTAACGTATTAATTTGGGAGAGAGTAGCAGCTCTGTCGCAGATGAAAAGGTGGAGAATCTATTTTTACCTGTTTCTTGAGGTTAAAAATGCAGCTGGGACCAAAGCTTCTTTGTTCATTACATATACTACACATCCTTCTGTAGGATCAACACATTATTCCAACAGGATATGTCAGCCAGTCTAAAACATGCAGTGGATGAAATTATCTTCACAACTGAAGACAAGGAAGAAAAATATCCATTGCTGTGGACCCCAAAGAAAATGAAGTATACACAAAAGTAAATACATCCAGTGCATGTTGGGGAAAGCAGAGACATCACATAAGGGTGTGCATTTCTTCAGGGCTACAGAATCAAACCTGACGAGCATGGTAATTTACCTTCCTGGCCAGTACATGACCCCACTGCAGTACACAGTCTCAGTATCATGATCCCCACATAGGGCATCATTTCTGGCTGAAATAAAGTGCATCCTTTAAAAAAATCTAGTCTTTTGTAGCACAAGAGAAAAAATGGTGGCACAGAGTCAAAGCATAAGCACACCTGACTGATTTGCCCTCTCCCTGACACTGTCTGCTTAGAAAAAAATCACTAAAATAGGGTAGACGAAGTGCTCCCTTCCTGGCAGCTCCGCTAACGCTTACAGATTTGTAATTCAGAGACCTGCTGTGCCAGAGGCTTTGGCTTTGGGTTTTAACAGCCTTTGATAGATTTCTCTTTTGCAAATTTCATCCACTGTATAGTGACAGTCATGAAATTTACGGCCATGAAGGACTTACTCTACCCACTTATATCTGACAAGTAATTTCACACTACCCTCCAGTGATCTCTGTGACACAGACCAAGTAAACTGCAGCACATGGGAAAAGTTACCACTGCATTTCCACTAGCTACTCACTTTCAGCACTGAAAGCATGTGCCTGTTTTCCTTTGGAATTCAATCTGCTGCAGTCATGCCTTATCCCTGGACAACTAAAAACTGCTTTAGTATTCAGTGTTTTCTCTTTGTACATGTACTCACACACCCTGATCAGATCACTCACAAACCTTCCAAGAGTCCATAGACTCATAGGAAGCTTTGGGTTGGGAAGGACTTTTAAGGGCCCTCTAGGGACCTGGCCATGGACAGGGACATTTCCAACTCATAATAAGGTGACTGCAAGTCCTGTTCAACCCAGCCTCAGAGACCTCCATGGATGAGGTTCTTTGGGCAATCTATGCCAGTGTTTTCCAGCCTCATTTTAAAAATGGTCTCTTATCTAGTCTGCATCCACCCTCTTTTATTTTAAAATTAATTTAAAATTTTAAAATTAAACCTAGTTTAAAGTCATTACCCCTTGTCTTACAAGAGTTCTGCATCTCACATTGTAAAATACTTCTTACAATCTTGAAATACGTTTTGTGAACTTCAAACATTCTTCTTTGTTCCCTAGAAGCCTTAAAAATAGGCTGTGTGCTATGCCACCAGGGCCCTTCTTGCTGTCTCACATCAACAGCATCTGTTTCCCCCAGATTGCCTACCTGTAAAGATCTGTTATATCATGTCTTAAATCTATACTTTATAGGGCTGGGACAGAGCCTGGGTATTAGTGTCTGAAACAGAGGGTCCAAGAAAAATAAAGTTGCTTGCACTTTAATACAGTCAATTTCTTTACAGACTTACCTTTTTTGAACATGGAGTCCTCTCTGGAAGAGGGATACACCATCTTCCCCAAGCGCATAAGTTTGCATTTGATTGTTCTAAGACAAAAGTCTATCTGAAGGGCCTTACTCTGCTAGACACTCTTCTTCACTATTATCCTCTCTTCATTACTTTTTTGCATATTTTTACATATCTGCTGATTTTATTTGTAGAGATCGTACATTTGTTTCCAAATAATCAATTAAGTGTCAAACAACTGGCTGGAGAACTGTCCTGCAGATAAAAACCAGAATCCCCAGCTTATGGATTGGGCAGTTTTCTGGCAGTATTTCCTGTCTTTCCTTTCCCACAGAGCTGAACTGTAAAAAATAGAAAAATCAGCTTCCAGCTTCCCTCAGCTTTCTCCCAAGATACAAGATGCTCTTAAGAATTTTAAGTTCTGTGTAGCATTGCACCATCATCTGATACCCTGAACACAGGCAGGGACTCGCCAACAACAAGTTGGCAACAACACTCCTGGCTTTTGGGTTACATGCATCAGATCTCACTCTCCTGTTTCCCATGATTCTGTTTCTTCTCTAATGAGGACTCACTAATGATTCTTGCTTGCGCCATGTCATTTTAAACCCTTTCCTTTAGCAGCTTGTTTTACATCCCAGACATCCCCTAAAGCTCTCAGTCAGCAATTCCTGACAGCCAGTTCCTGCATCTCTCACACGTTAATGCTCAGCTTGGTGACATGGCACCAGCTGTGTCCTGGTGCAGAAGATCTGCTGCTTGCTTAGTTTCTTACAGCACTGTGTCCTCTGCCAGTGCTTCCAGATGTGTTATGTAGAACAATGATCCAAGGAATTCTCCTTGAATATTACACTGTACTGAAACCTGCAATTACAAGCTCTGTATCCTTGTGACACTGGGAAGTTACTTTTCATGCACCAGAATCTCTTTTGCATTCAAGATGAGCACACCATCCCCAAGGTGAGCAGCACTGGAGTTTCCACTCTGTCCATCTGTGCTGTGGCACATGAGCCCACCTGGCAGTCGCTGCATCCCATGGAGAACATCAACATGAGCACACACAGGCCCATGCTGCTCACAGGGCAACAGTCAGACCTGGCTTTGCTGCACCCCTTGCCCACAAGACAGTCTCAGCCAGCTCACCATACAGAAATGCCCGTGGGCAGCTCTTGGTCATGCCCAGCCATTCTGCCACTCACATGGCCTGGCTTTTGTCTAACAGTGAGGCAAGAAATTCTCATTCATACATCCTTTCTGTGCGACAGCAGGAATGAGGAACAGAGTTGTTTTCTTGCACTCTTAGAATGGCTCTAATCGCAAAAAAGAGAGAACCAGCTCTGCAGGTGGGGTCTGCAGGGCATGTTGGGTGTGGATCAGAGGCCCACTTGGGGATTTCCACATCTAAAGGATACGAGATGAGGTACACCATTCTTTCGTGTTTGCTCTAACACATTATATTTTCAATAGCACCTTACACAGCCCAAGTCCCTTTCCTATTTGGATCATAATGGATCAGGACCTCCTCATCCAGAACAACCCTTATATTAATAAAAGTTTTCCCAGAAAATTGCCCATGTCCTCATTCTGTGAATGTGTGCTTACATGTTGCATATAGGTAAAGCTTTATAAAATAAGGACCTTGTTAACCTTGTAAAATCATGGCTCAGGCCTGCTACTTTGGCTAAGTAGAAGAGGACTATGGGAAAGTGACTCATCTGAATTGGAGATAGAGAAACAAGTTATATAACCATTATGTGCTCACATTGTGGTGAATGCTGGTTAGCTGAATTACATTTGGCATGCTAAAATGGAATGTAACTGATAACAGCCTAACTACTTTAAAAGGCCTGGTTTTTTGCAATAAAGGGCTCTCCTTTGCACCTGCCTGGAGACTCTGCATTGCTCTCCTTCATTT